TATTTCATTGGCTACACATGTTCCTCTACGTGCGTAGTACTGATGTAATATTTTTTCTCATAGGCGTAGCACTTTACTGATGTGTGAAAAGATGTATTTGACTATTAAAAAGTGAAATTAGTGCTATTTTTGATGTGATATGAAAGATTTGGATGCTAAGCTGTAAAAATGAAAGCATAGGTAAATCAATAGGAATTGAGTGCTATGCACGTGTAAACTGCCCTTTTTTTTAATTTTTAAATTACTATTTTTGTCTTGTTATTATGACTGACATTGTTGAATCTTATTATTGTCAATATATTGATATTATACTGGGGTATGATAGCCTATTTTTGTATGGTCTTTTAGCTTACAAATTTTAACATCTTGTGACAAGGTTGAGGACGGTCTTGCTTATACCAATAAAATTTGGGGTATTTACATACTTATCCCCCCAATTCCTATGTATTTAAGCTGCAAGCCTCCAATTTTTAAAAAACGAGTGAATTAATAAATATTATATAAAGTAAAGGGTTAAGAAATAATATATTAATATTCTAATTTATTAACAAATTAAAAAGTAATATAATAACATTCTAATTGATTAAAAAATAATAAATTGTATAAGCTTAGAAGTCATATGCCAATATCATAACATCAAATTAGGAAATGAGATAAATTATACAAATATTATACAATTAAAATATGTCATGTTATTAAATTAAAATTTTAAAATATCAAAACATAATAATTAAAAGAAGTTCAATATTAATTTTTCTCACTCAAGCTACTCCACACTTAAATAAGAATATAACAAGTCATCAATATTTAATTTTTTTTATTTTAATTTTTTTTATTCCTATCATTGAATTGATTTTCATTAGAATCATTGGAATAATAAATTATTTATCTCGTTTCATATCTTTGGTTGTATCTATATTCTTTTATTTCTTATCATATCAGTCAATGAGGTGAACCTAAAGTATAGAACATGCATTTTTTAGTAGAGTGATAGATGGAATACAGGAATAGAAATGAAACTATACAAAGGTTAATATGGACAGAATTTATTCTAAAAGATAATATAATTAAATGGAATTTAACATCACAAGCAATATTTTAAATAACTGGCTGACAAAAAAGGATTACAATGCCAACCCCAAGTAGTCAGGAAGATGATGCCAAAAATGAGCGGCTATGACTTCCCTTGACCTTTACTCTTAAACTTAAAAAAATAATAATAATAAAAGAAAAAAAAAGAAAAAAAAGAATTACAAAAGTGTGCTTAAATTCAACTTCATATGAACAATAGCCATTCCTAAATAAAAAGACCAATAAATTAAGACTAGTTAATTCTCTAATACACAATATATTAAAACAACAACATCCAAAAAAGATAAAGCATAAAAGCTATCAAACCATGAAAAAATAGTTTGTGCGACAGATTTTCCCAGACCTTTACCACTTCATTCATAAAGATATCAGTAAGGATCTAAATCATAATGCATCATTTTATATGGCATACAAACTAGTGCTATAATGTGAAAGCTTTCTTGGCTTCTAGCGATAAACGATCAACAGAAGAGGATATACAGAAGGAAGAAATAGAATTAATCTTTATTGCTCTTTACAATGAACAACTATAAGCCTATATATAGGAATATAGAAGGATATAAAGAGCTTGCGGAATACAATAACTAACATATCTTATTAAATAGATGCTAACATCCCTCCTCAAACTAAATAATCTGGTGAAGAGGTGGTTAGTTTGATACGGATTTAGTTTGATACGGATTTCCTTGAATATGGTATTGGAAAGAGGTTTGGTAAAGAAGTTTGCAAGTTGATCAGTAGTAGTGGTATGATGAACGATGATCTGATTCTTTTGAATACACTCTCTGATGTAGTGATAATCAATTTTTATATGCTCAGTCCTAACATGGAATGTCAGATTGTTGGCGAGAGCAGTTGCGGATGCGTTGTCACAATAAAGAGTAGTAGTAAAAGCATCTTGAATATGGAAATCTTGTAGTAGACGTTGATGTCGGTAGCAACCGTGGCAATGGTGTGGCACTCAACTTTAGTGGAAGAGCGAGCTACAATTTGTTTGTGTTTTAACAAACCAAGGAATAAGACTAACACCAAGAAAAATACAGTAACCTCTGGTGGATTTTAAATATGTCGGATGTCCAACCCAATCAAAGTCAACATATGCCACTCGAGATTGCTTCTGCAATGCAGATAACAAAAGATGCGCTTCAACTAAGAGTGCTGGGTAGATTGGTGCATAGTTTGACTTACTTGGTTGATAGCATAGGAGAGATCAGAACGAGTGATCGTGAGATACTATAATGATCCAATGAGTTTGCGATAGGAGGGATCACAATAAGGAGTGAGATCAAGTGCCGATATGGTTTGGTCTGAGATTGAAGGATTTTGAATAGATTTAACATTAATCATACCAGAGGTATGTAAGAGCTTATTGAGATAGGTAGTTTGACGAAGATGAAGACCGGAAGATGTGGGGAGAGCTGTGACACTAGGAAGGTAGTATTGGTGCCCAAATTTTTATCTTAAATTGTTGAAGCTTATGAAGAATGGTGTTGATTGTGTCTTGACGATTCCCAGTGAAAAGGATAACATTAACATAAATGAGAAAATAGATGTGAATGGTGTTCTGATGATAGCAAAATAATGAGGAGTCAACATTGCTAGGACTGAAATTCAGATGTTTAAGATAATGAGTGAGAGTGGTGAACCGTTGCTAGGGAGCATGTCTATGACCGTACAAAGCTTTCTTAAGATGACAAACATAGCTATAATTGTTATGGTCAATAAAACCTATGGGTTGCTCCATATAAACAATATCAGTTAGATGATCGTGAAGGAAAGCGTTGGAGACATCCAACTGAAAAATAATCCAAATGTAAGTACAATAATGGTTAGGAGGACCCGAATGGTAGGCATTTTAGTAACAGGACTGAAAGTATCAGTATAATCAAGACCATAGTATTGTTTGAACCCTGGAGGAACAAGCCTATCTTTGTAACGTGCAATAGAATTATTCGCATGACGTTTGGTTTTGTAGGCCCATTTACAACCAAAAAGATTTTGGTCAGAGGAAGGAGGAACAAAGATCCAATTACCATGTGCTTGGAAGGCTTGTAATCACAACTGTCAAGATGAAGAACATAGGGAAGAATGGATGAGGAGATAATTGAATAGGGAGCGGCAGCAAGATTTTGGTCAATTATCATCCATTGAGTGTAAATGGAGTTGGTAATCTCACCACCGGAAGTATCAAAAATCGTAGAGGAGGGTGGGTGGCAACTTCCGATCAAGATCCCTTCATAGCCATCAGCGTCGAATAAAAGGATTGAGCTTTCCAAGTGATGTGATTACGGAATTTAGAGGTGTGGATATATTGCTCTTGATGTGAGTGAGAATAAACTTGAGTTTTGTGGGAATGGGATGATTGCAATGTAGAGAGTTAGAATTAGTGGGGTAGATGGCAATAAGAGCCCAGGCCGTTGAGGTAGAATCCATGCAACTCAAGAAAAACAGGGAAAATCAAGAAGAAAATAGAAGGAGAGAGTCTTACGGAGAGATCAAAAGAAACCGATGAAGTAGTTGACACTCCTGGTTTCGATGTAGCTGAGGTTTCACCCGACGTGGACAAAGCGAGGAGCAGGCGACGCTTAATCTCAGCAAAGAATCAGCTTAGTGGAAAGAAACCGCGGTCTCTGCCTCTCTCATTTGGACGCGCGCTGCAACAAAGCGAGCTCAAGGCATGGGCAAATGTCAGAGAGATCAGATAAGCCAAGTCGCAGGACTGTTGAAGCAAGGAGAGATGTCGTCAGGAAGGGAAGCCCTTATACCATGAAAGTTTTCTTGGCTTCTAGCGATAAACGAGCAGCACAAGAATTTAACCTAAAGATAAGTAAAGAACAGGGGATAAAAAGGAAGAAATAGAATTAATCTTTATAACTTTTTATAATGATAAAAACATATTCATGTCGTGATTTTTCGACAAATTTTATGCAGATTGTTGACTACCCACAGTGGCAGTGTTAAAAGGCTTGTTATTATTATTATACCTTTTACAATGAACAACTATAAACTTATATATAGAAATAAAACAGGATACCAAAAGCTTGCGGAACACAATAACTAACATATTCCAATACGATAAATGCTAACATAATGGAGTATTTCAGAATATCTCAGTTTATAATGGAGCAAAGCTTTACTACCAATCAAAGAAGGTTTGAATCTATGCCAAATGCATATTTTTACGGTTAAAGTGTTAAAAATGGTCTCTTTCCTGTTTACATGAGATAATTTTTCCATAAAGTGCCAAATTAATCCCCGAATTCTTTAAATTGAGGCTAAAATAATTTTCAATTGAGAATCTAGGGACTAAATTGACATTTTATATACTCTTGTGACTAAAATGACCCTATGCAAAGAGTCAAGATAACTATTCTGACACTTTTCTCATATTATTACACAATTTCAAAATTTTGTACCTCTTTGCTGTTGCTCAAACCCTCCATCAATGATATGTAAGTACTATCATTAGGCTTAATACCTCTGCTCACCATCTCCTTCCAGAGCTCCTCAGCCTGATCACCTTCCCCATTTTTACAAAGTCCTTGAATAAGAGCATTGTATGTCAGAATTGTAGGGTTGAATCCCTTCTCCAACATCTCGTTTCGAACAGAGAACGCATCCTTCATCTCACCTTTCCTGCTATAACCACTAATTATGGTGTTATAACTCACAAGATCAGGCTTGATTCCTCGTCTACCCATCTCATCCAGAAGCTCATGAGCCTCCTCAGCTCTCCCCAACAAGCACAGCCCCCTCATCAGAGAATTGTATGTAACATCGTCAGGATGAATTCTCCTCATCTCCATCTCCTTTAAAAGCTCATAAGCTCTTTCGAAGTTCCCTCTGCCGGCGTGGCCATCGATCATGACATTGTAGATGACAACATCAAGAGGAAAACCTTTATCATTCACCATGTCCCTGAAAATTCTGTCAGCCTCAGCCACTCTATTCCTCTTGAAAAGGGCATAAATTAAAGAAGTGTAGGTGACCTTATTAGGCTTCACGCCCTTCCCTGACATTTCTTCAAACAAATCAAATGCCTTTTTTGCATTTCCATCCTTTGAATATCCATTAATAAGAATGTTATAGGTGATTGAATCGGGCACCATCCCCTTCTCTCCCATATCTTTGATCAGGGAATTTGCTTCAGCATCTCTACCCTCCATGAACAACGCATGAACAAGCAAATTGTAAGTGGTTACGGTAGGCTTGATTCCCTTCTTCTCCATCTCATCCCTGTAATGAAACGCAACATCTAACTCTCCTTTATTGCAATAACCAGAAATCAAAGCATTGAAACTGGCTGCAGTAATGGCCAATCCTTTATCTTCCATCTTTCCAAGCATCGCAGAGGCATCCTCAAGTCTACCTTCTTTGCACAAGCCAGAAATCAATGTTCCATAAGTGTAAGAATCAGGCTTGATCCTTTTTCCCTTCATCTCGTCCAAGATTTGTAGACCGATTTCAACCTTACCACTCATGCAATATCCATGAATTATAGTGTTGTAACTCACAACACTGGGCTTGATCCCAGACTCCTCCATGAATGCCATAAACGCTTCCGCCTTCTTTAATTTCCCTTCTCTGCACAACACATTGATCATTATATTGTAAGTGACAACAGTTGACGAGATCCTCAATCGAAACATTTCTGCATACAGCACCCATGCCTTCTCTGTCTGCTTTTTCTTCAGAAAAGCACTTAACAGGGAGTTGCAACTTTCAATCTTCGGTAGCTTCTTCTCATCTTTCATGAGATAGAACAACTCCAGCGCTGCTTCGGGATTACCAGCTTCCGCGTATGCGCGAAGGAGGAGATCGAACACGATCGGTGGGTCTGAAGGTCGGCACCGCTTGTGTGCGGCAGCCAGAGCGTCGAATACCTCACGAAGAGAAGCTGCAGGGAGGTCTGAAGTGAGCGATTGCTTCAGGAGGGAGAGAGCGTTGTCCGGGGAGAGGAGAACGGCGGCGCTGGAGAGGGAATGGAGGTCGAGGCGGCGGTGACCTAACCGATGGATGAAAGAAGGGATGAGATGGGGGGAGGTTTGAAGGCGAACGAGGATGGAGGGGATGAGAAGAGGGGAAAGGGAGGGGAGTAGGGAATCGACGTGAGACCATTCGGATTTGAGGATGGAGTCTGTGATGGAATCAGCGGAGGGGTTGCTGAAGGTGGAAGAGGAGGAAGGGTGTGGGGGTGAAGAGGAGGAAGGGTGTGGGGGTGAAGAGGCGGAGAGCTCGCGGGAGGCGGCGATGGTGGTGGGTAGGGGACACTGCCTGATTCGAGGGAGAGATCGAACGGTCAGCATTGCGGAGGGGAAGGCAATGGTTTGGAAATTCGGAATTGCATAATTGTGCTGGGAAGTCGGGGGGAAAAAAAAAGGTGATAATAATAATGACTTAAATTTTTTTAAAATTTATTCAAAAATTAAATATTATATTAAAATTAATATTTAGTTATAAACTATATTGTTTAAATAACTATACAAAATGTAAATATATATGATCAAATTTTTTATGATAATAGCTAATTTTTGTATAAATCATTTTTATTGTTGTGTGCCGAAAGATTCATTTTTATTGTTGTGTGCCGAAAGATTCATGTCAATAGAGTTATAATTTAATGTCTTAGAATCCAAAGAAATACTAACACATACATATATAAATGAAAAATCTTGTGCCATAACTTTTACATGAAAGAACTTAATTATCAAATCAGGTCAAAAAATTATCCAATCTTTAAAAAAGTATAGTTTTTTAATAAAGAGAACCTAATTTCATTTAATTTCAATCAAATATATTTTTGAACTTAATTAAAGAAATGACATTCAATTAATTTGAAAGATTTATAATGTACAAATAAATAGTTTTGTGAGTTTTTTAAATAAAAATTTCTTTTTTTTAGCATTAATGGTTAATGAGAATCTCTGCGCATCAATAATCATTATGTAAAGTCAATTAACCGGAAGGCTACTTTTAAGTTTCTTGCCTCAAGAAATTCACTGGTGGAAATACTGAAGAAGCCATGGGGCACCACCTTCAATGTGATTCTTCGTCTTTGTGGCGGTGGATCCTAGGGTTTGGCTGCGAATTGGACCGGCGGTGGTGGAAGTGGTTCAATCAGAAAAAATATTAGGTCAGGGCTCCGGATACATCCAGGGTCTAATAGGAGGGCGCCACATGTAAAGTGGACCATTCATAGTGTCTTGTGGTGGGCTCATTTTACACGTGGTGCTGCAACATTGGACTTTGGATGCTTCCAAAATCCTGACCTAATAATCTCTCGTTCAAGAGGGTTTGTTTACTTCAGTCTTGCATTGAGGGTAACAAGCTGAAGATCCTTCTTGCTTTCATAGATAGCCTTGTGGACGAGTATGAAGCTTGAATGCTTTTATATTATTCTTAAAATATGATGCTAGTGTCATCAGCTTTCAATTTTTATATGTTATAAAAGGTGTGGGTGTTATAAATGTAAAAAGTAAATATTAAGTATTTAATTTGTAAAGACATGGAATTAACTGTTATGTATGTATTTTTTATGGAAAACTTCATAGATGTCACTGAATTATTATGTATGTATCTATCTAATGCCTAAACATAGGAATTAGTTGTTATGTGTGTGTATTTTTTGGAGACCCATGCAGGGCTTGAGAACCTTTGGCACACTCCAAACCTAGGCATAAACATTTGGTATCTCTTTAATTGGTATTGTGATTGTCAATCTTATGATGTGCTAATTGTACCAATTGCAAACAAGATTTGATCGGAGCTTGATTGGAGTTGTATTTAATTAACTTTGATATCATTGGGCTTATCTTATTGAGATGATTAAACTTGTTAAAATTAGGGTCCAGATGATCTTAAATATGAATTTGAAAGACCTTTTTTATTAAAAATGCATCGAGGTTCACACTTGATAAAAAATTTTTTATAACACATCAATATTACGCATAAACTTCATTACAAATTTTTAAATAAATATATAAAAAAATATATTTGTATCTATTTTATAAACAACTATAGAGATTCAATTATCTTGAATATAATATTTTTTTTAAAAAATTTTACTTTGCATATATAAACCCAAGTAGGAAAATTAATCTCTGTACTTATTTTACAGACAACCAAACAGTCAACTATAGTGATAATACATTATATTTTATTTTACTCTGCATTTTTTTTACAAATAACGAAACGATCCTTAAAATAATTGATGCATTTCAATCTTATACCTTAATATGAAGCTAGTCTTTTATAACTTCCAAGCGTATATTCACTTTTTGTTTTATTTTGAGTATTTACTTTACATGAGAGTATTTTAATCCCTTAATTTACACAAGTGTCAAATTAATCTAAAATTTTTAAATTGAGGCTGATAACTCAATTTTAAAATAATCAGGATTATTTTGACATTTCTATGAACTCTAAGAATAAAAAAGTCACATATAAATAATCGGAGACTATTTTGATATTTTACTTGGCTTCAGTTGGCATATGATTTGACAGTGAAATTTGTGAGTAATAGCAGTGATATATGATGATGACGGGAAGAGCATAAAGAATTTCAGCCCTCTGATTCGGTTGGGGTGGATAGCATTCAATCCCAAGAAAACAAGAGGAGTTTTAGAACAATCAGATGCCATTAATCCCGTTCACCCACAATAAATAAGAACAGTTGATGCAAACTATTGACTAAATATGTTTACCCGCAAATCACATCACAGCTATAGATGAAATTAGCACTAAAAACAATTTTATTTTATACTCAACTTTTTTTTTTTTTTTTGGCAATATGATACCAACGACTACTTATTTTATTACTTAATGTGTTTCTGAAGACTCATGATAGAAAAGTGATAACTTAACGTCTTATAATTGCACGAAGATCCATCACACAATCAGATGATAGAAAAATAATAGGAGAAGATACCGGTATTTTTTACTTGATAAAATCGGGGATATATATAGGGTCTAACTCAATTAAAGCAATCCACTATGAATGAGTAGTATAAAGATATATTATTTTCTCACAACTCGGAGAGTAGGGCTATAATTTACATCAGATACAACACTTTAATATATAAAAAACTTTAGAAGTCCAGAAAAAATCGTCATATTCTAAATATGACGATCGTAAGTAGTTGTCGTTATATATCATAGTCATTCTTCAATATAGTGTTATGTGTTATAGCCATATTTCAAATATGACGTTAGGAAGTAGAGGTTGCTGACGGAGGCAAGCAGGAGCGGTCGACAATGGGTGATGACAGCAGACGAGCAGTGGTTGGTGGTGGTTGATGAGTGATGGTCGACGGTTGTCTGAAATTATGGAGGTCGGAAGTTATTACAGCGTCTTCAATACTGCGTTGCATGTTACACCTGTATTTGGTATACATCGTTAGCAAGGGCTGCCAAGAACGGCGAGCATGACCATCTAACAATGGTTGACGACGACCAACAAGCGGTGGTCAATCGTAATCTGCGACCACAAAGGCTACAAATTGTCGTCAGATCTTCAATTACGACGTTGTGCTTTATGGACGTATTTAGAATACATAGTAAACAAGCAAAGATAGCCAAAGGCAGCGAGCAAGAATGATCGACGGTGGTTGACGGTGGGCGAGGGGATGGTCGATAATTGTCGACGGCTATGTCGTTGGGAAGTTATCACTGTATCTTCATTACATAACAAACTCTGTAATTCCTTGTATTCTCCTCATCCCTCAAGTGAAGAAAGAGTCTATTTATAGCCTCTATAGTTCCCGACCACCAAATCAAATGACATATTGATCCCCTCAATCATAGAGTTCTTTTAAATGATTTGAAGGCCCTAATGACAAAGGAATTAAAACAGGTTAAACTCCTTGGATTTCTCTTGTTGAGATGTTCAACTTGAATATAAATATATCAAATTTAGAGTTCATTTGATCATCCAATTGATGAATCAAAAATTCCTAAATAAATTTAATGGCTTGATTGCATTAAGCTTGAACTAATTTTAGTATCATTGTTCGTCTTGCTGATATGACTATAAACTTGTTGAAATTGAGTCTCTAAATGATCATTAATTTGAATCTGGAACATTTCTTCCTCAAAATACCTCGAGATTCAAGTCAAATGATTAAATTTATTGATGACGCGTCAATCCTAACAACTACAGTACATCATCTTCAAAAAAAATTTCTTTTAATATTACACAAATTAAATAAGTATGATATCAAGGGACAATTGAGAGTAACATAGCAATCAAATGAGTCCAATAATTTACCTATTTTACACAATTCAATTGAAATAAGATATTTCCAGAGCCCTTGCTTTCTCAGACGCCACACCAGCGTCTCCTCCCCCACCAATATTATATGCCTTCTCCTAATAATGATCATGAAAGCACAAGCTTAGTTCGGTTAGATGAAAATGATTGCAATAATCTCTAACAAACAAATAACTTTAAAAATGGCAGGAAAATGAATCGATACACTACGTACCAACAAGCGCCACAAGAAAGCGCACCCTTCTCTTTTCTTAAGCTGTTTCTCAATTAGATCTATAGCTGTAGAAGCACAAATTTTCATCCGGGCATGTACATACATACCAACCAATTCCTATGTATTCACATATCTAACACTTAAACTTTTACTTTTACATATATACCACTCAAATATTTCATATTACATAAAAAATAATACTATTTAGCTTTTAAAAAGTGAAATAAAACTTTTCATATATATAAAAATTAAAGCTTAGGAGTTGGATATGAAAGCTCCCATTTTCAATTAATAATACAGAATGCTGAATTAGACTTGTATAAATATGCAGTTATACCTTTTGAGGCATGCCCTGCGTTTAGCAGAGCATTGTACCAAATTGCGTTGAAGACATCAAGTTGTTCATCAGAAGCACCAATCATCTAAGATTGCGAAAAAGAAAAAAAAATATATATATATATATAAATGAAATAATTAAGCAAAATGGAAATAAGTGCTAGGTAATTAGCATACTTTATAATCCATTGCATCAAAATCTGGACCAAGTATATCAATTACTTTGTCATCATTTCCTCTGCCATACTCATAAGTGGCTTCTGCAAGCTGTGTGAAGCATGCAAAGAAATATCAATTAGTTTATAGTGTTGAAGTGTCAAAAAAACAAATGTTGTCTAAGTTTTATAAGCAATGTGTGTTGTGGAATATATGTAATTTAAAATGATCGACTTTGACGAAGCGAAAAATAGAACGAGAAAATTTCACACCAGAAAGAAACACACAGATTTATGTGGTTCGGCAAAATACCTAAATCCACGGAGTTGTAGAGGATTTCACTAATTGAGGAATTTACACCAGTTGATCGTCTCCAATTACAATAGTGAACTCTTCCTTTCACTTCTTCACTCTTCTCTCTCTACACCGAGCTACACCGAAGAAGAAGAAATACGTACAAGAGAAAATTTGTTTTTCTTTTGCGCAAGCCACCAAGAATAAAATCAAGAACACCTTCTTCCTTCCAAGCACGCAAAATCAACTAAGAAAGAGTACCTTGTGAAAACACCCTTTTTGCCTTCTGCTTCTCGTAAGCCTCAACAAGAATTCAAGCAATGAAGCCTCCTTTCCTGCTTCCGCGAAATGAAGGAGGCGAGAGTTTCTGTTCTCGCGTGAAGGAGACGGAAGTGAGAGATCGCGAACCACGGGAGCGGGAGATCGCAAACCACGGGAGTGGGAGATTGTGAATTTGGGAGAGGCGGAGAAGGGAGTTTCATTTTTGCGAACCGAACATGACGAGGGGCAGAAGCAAGACGGGAGCGGGAGATGTTCGCGTAATAGAAGGGGAGGCGGGAGCATTTTTTTTTTCTTTTGTGGACCGTATCCACTTAACAAATCTTCCACTTGGAGATTAGTACACAGACAACAATGTTCTTTATCCTCAAACCAATATCCTTTACTGGTGGCGTAGTTTATTTCTTCAAACGTGATATCTTCCGCCTCTGCAACTCAAGACCAATGTCTTCACGCCAGAAGACCAACTGAAGCTGCGCACAACTTCACTTTCTCCAGAGTAACACCCTTTGTCAACATATCAACAAAGTTCTGGCTTCCACAAATTTTCTCAAGCAACAACTGTCTGTCATTCAACAATGACCGTATGAAGTAATACCTGATATGATGTGCTTAGTCCTGGACTGAAATACTAGATTCTCAACAAGGAATATTGCGCTCTGACTATCACTGTAGAGAATTCTCTTTTGATTCTTCTTGTCCAATTCTTCCAAGAAGCCCTGTAGTCATATCATCTCCTTTGCAGCCTCTGACACTGCTATGTGCTCAGCTTTTGTAGTAGACAACGAAACCGTCTTCTGACCGTCTTCTGCAGATTAGAGCCCAGTGCCACATGACACTGCAGTGCCACCAAATTAGAGCCCCATGACACTGCAGTGCCACCAAAAGTACTTCTTCTGGTTGTAGTACTTCTTCTGGTATCAATGTCTCCAGCTATATCAACATCAACATAGCCCTGTACCTCTGAACTCTTTCCTGAGAAACACAAGCAAGTTTCTGAAGAGCTCTTAGGTATTTCAAGATCAACTTCACTGTTTCCCAATGTTCCTTTCCTGGATTACTCATGTATCTGCTAATAACTCTCACTGCATGGGCAATATCAGATTTGGTGCAACCATAGCATACATAAGTGAACCAATAGCTGAAGCATAATGAACCTTACTCATCTTACTCATGTGATCTCGTTCCTCCTCTGACTTGGGTGACTGATTCTTGCTGAGTTTAAAGTGACTTTCGAGGGGTGTGTCAACTGGTTTGACCTTATTCATGTTGAACCTGCTAAGTACATTTTTCACATACTCAGCCTGAGAGAGTCTCAACATACCTCTGACTCTATCTCTGACAATTCTCATACTAAGAATTTGTTTTGCCGCTCCCAAATCCTTCATTGCAAAGTGCTTTGACATCTACTCCTTTAGATTATTGATCTCCTTAATACTAGCACTTGCAATAAGCATATCATCCACATACAGCAGTAGGATAATATAGGAATTGTCAAAATACCTGACATAGCAACAGTGATCTGCCTGACATCTGTTGTACCCTGCACTGTGCATGAAATTATTAAATTTCTTGTACCACTGTCTAGGAGCTTGCTTCAGGCCATACAAGCTCTTCTTCAATCTGCAAACAGACTCTTCCTTTCGTTGGTGCATGTAGATGTCTTCTTCAAGATCCCCATGAAGAAATGTTGTCTTCACATCTAACTGCTTAAGGAAGAGATCTTCAGTAGCTACCATAGACAGTACCATTCTGATGGTTGTAAGCTTCACCACAGGAGAAAAAAATTTTGATTAATCAATACCATGCTTCTGCTGAAAACCCTTTACAACAAATCTAGTCTTGTACCTCTTACTATCATCATGCTCAGTCTTCACCCGGTACACCCACTTGTTGTGTAATGTCTTCTTCCCAGATGAAAGTTTTGTCAACTCCCAAGTCTGATTATCTAGCAGAGAATCCATCTCCACCTTCATAGCTAGCTCTCACTTGCTCAAATTTTCATCTTGCATAGTTTCTTCATAACTCTGAGGTTCTCCACCATTTGTCAGCAGAATGTAGTTCAAAGTTGGAGAATAACGCTGTGGAGAACGTCTAGCCCTTTCTGACCCGTGAATTGCAACTATAGGGGTAGATTGCTCTGAAACTGACTGTGGAACAATAGGAGTGGATGCCCCGAATCCACTCTCCTCATCATCGGGGCATCCACTCTCCTCATCACCACGTCCTGCACTGTGACCTCTGGTAAATCATCAAATCTTACCAACTCAGATTCCTTCAGTGTTTTTTTCAGAAACAGTACTGGACTTGTCCTTGTACATAACATTCTTATTGAAAATCAAGTTCCTGCTCCTAATGATCTTCCGACCCTGATCATCCCAGAAACGATATCCAAATTTCTCATCTTCATAGCCAATGAAATTACACTTCCTTGACCTAGCCTCAAGCTTATTACGAACATCAGAATTAATGAGAATATAAGAACGACAACCAAAAGTCTTAAGGTGAGAAAATTTTATCTCTTTCCCACTCCAGACTTCTTCAGGTAATTCACAGTTTAATGGAACAAATGACCCCCTTTTGATCAAATAAACTGCAGTACTGCCCGCTTCTACCCAGAAAGTATGTGGTAGTCCGGCGTGCAATCTCATGGTTCTAACCCGCTCATTAATGGTCATGTTCATGCGTTCTGCAACACCATTTTGCTGTGGTGTCCCTGGAGTGGTCTTCTCCATTTTGATTCCCTGAGCTGCACAGTACTCCTTGAACCCACCATCAATGTACTCACCACCATTATCAGACCTCAGATATTTCAGCTTTAAGCGTGTCTCTGTCTCAACCATGACCTTCCAAGTCCTGAACACACTGAATACATCAGACTTATACTTTAAGAAATAAACTCATACCTTTCTGCTATGATCATCAATAAATGTGACGTAGTAACGTAACGAGAGCCTCCAAGAGATGTCACTGGAGAAGGACCCCACACATCTGTGTGTACAAGATCCAGCTTTCCTGCTTTTGGCGTCCTGCCACCTTTCAAGAAACCGACCTTTCTTTGTTTCCTCATAATGCAACTCTCGCACATGCTGAAATCAACTGACTTCAGTTCAAGTTGCTTGCCTCTGGACTGAAGTTCCTTCATACCTCTCTGACTCATGTGGCCAAGTCTGCAATGTCATAACTCTGTTGTGTCTCTGCAACAGTAGTATCAACATTGTTAATTAAATCAGTAGTCATATACAACGTACCTGTTTTCTTACCCCTAGCCAGTACCAGTGCTCCTTTAGTAACCTTCCAGGTGCTATCAGAGAACACTACTGAATGTCCACACTCATCAAGCTGCCCAACAGAAATGAGGTTCTTCTTCAGTTCAGGAATGTGTCTGACCTTTTGCAGAGTCCACTTGTTCTTGTTTGGAAGTGCAAGGTCAATATCTCTCATTCCTACCACGTTCAGAGATTCTCCATCTGCCAGATATATTTTCCCAAAATCTCAGATATATTTTCCCAAAATCTCCTGCAACATAATTCTGCATCAATTTTTGATGGAAAGTTGTATGGAAAGAAGCTCATGAATCCAGTATTCATTCATCAAAAGAACTATGAACTGTCAGCAGTAGTGCATCATGTGATTCTTCAGTTACCACATTCACATTGTCATCGCACTGTCAATCTCCTTCTTCTTAAGATTCCTGTTAGTTCCTCCTTATGTGGCCAGTTTTGCCACAATTCCAGCAAGTTAATTGTTTATCAGACATTGACTTGCTCCTGCTTCTGTTCTTTGATTTTGATATTCCTCTATTTGAGTTTTTGTCATATGATATCCCTCTGGAATCAACATTTAATGTTGAACTCGAACCTGAGATCTCGCCAGAATCTTTCATGCGCACCTCCTCAGCCAAAATCAAATCACAAATATCTTCAAAATTCGATTTAAATTTACTTGCACAATTACTTACAACCATCCTCATAGCTTCTATTTGACAATGAAGCCAACAAGATCAGTGCACGTATCTCATCATCAAATTCAATTTTCACAGACGATAATTGATTTGTAATAGTATTGAAATCATTCAGGTGTTATACAACAGACGTACATTCCGCCATCTTCAAATTGAATAACTTCTTCATCAGATATACCTTATTATTCGCAACGGACCTCAATTACCCCAGAACCTGTCGATCAAACAGATTTCATTCAACTCCATCCACTCTTTCGGGTCTTTTTCTCAATAACGGAAGATGAAGTTTTTTCCCATAGAAGTAATCCTCTATATGCACCCTTTAGTAACCAAAATCTATGTCATCGAACTTCTCGATCCCTGAAACTTTCACTTCATTCGTAGTCATTGGCTTTGATACCAATTGTTGTTGAATATATGTAATTTAAAACGATCGACTTTGACGAAACAAAAAATAGAACAAGAAAAATTCACACCAGAAAACAACACACAGATTTACGTGGTTCGACAAATTGCCTACATCCACAGAGTCGCAGAGGATTTTACTAATTGAGGAGTTTACACTGGTTGATCA